CTATGATATCCCTAGTGTCACAGCCCTTTCTAAACTCAACTTTTCTGGTAGTTCTATGTCAAGGTACTATTCCAGTAGTTTTTGGATGATCTTCAGCAGTGAAATGTTGTTGTTGTTGTTGTTGTTGTTAGGTACCACTGAGCTGAGTATGACTCATAGCAACCCTATGAACAAAAGATCTGAACCTTGTTCCATCCTGTGCCATCCTCACACTTCCTGACACATAAGAGCCCATTGCAGCAGTCACCATGTCAATCCACCTAGCTGAGAGTCTTCTTCTCCTTTACCAATGCTCTAACCGTTGAAGTATCATGACCTTCTCCAAGGCATAGTACCTCCTAACAACAGGCCCAAAGTATGTGAAGCAAACCTCATCATTCTTGCTTCCCAGGAGCACTCCAGCTGCACCATATCTAGGACACTTCTATTTGTTCCCTTGGCTGTTCGTGGGATGTTCAGTGTTCTTCTCCAACACCACAGCCACAGCTCAATGTCTCAATTCTTTTTCTATCATCCTTATTCATTGTCCAGCTCTCAGATGCACAACAAGTAATTGAAAAAATGATGGCTTGAATCAGACACAACTTAGTCCTAAGTTACCATTATCGCTCCATAATTTGTAGAGGTCCCTAACTGCAGATTTTCCCAGTGCAATGTGTCTCCTTATTTCCTAACTGCTGGTACCAAAGGTGTTAATTATAGATCCAATCAAGATGAAGCTGTTGACTGTTCCAATTTCCTCTCCATCTATCATGACACTGCCATTTGCTCCAGTGGTAAGAATCTCTGTGTTCTTGACATTGAGATGCCATCTGAAGGCTGCATTCTTACTTTTAGCAAGCAAGGTTGTGTCATCTGCATAAAGCAGGTTATTGATGAATCTCCCTCCAAACCTGATGTCACATTCCTCTTCATAGAGTTCAGCTTCTCAAATAATTTGCTTAGCATACAGACTGAACCAGTATGGAGAGAGAATACAACCCTGATAACTCCCTTCTCAATTGTAAACCATGCAGTGTTGCCCTGCTCTGTTCACACAAGAGCCTCCTGGTTCAGATATAGGTTCCTCATTAGCACAATTAAATGCTCTGGGATTCCACCTCTTCTCAGTGTCAGCCATCACCTATTATGATCCATACAGTCAAATGCCTTTGCATAGTCAATAAAGCACAAATAGACACTCTTCTGGTATTCTTTACTTTCAGCCACGATCCAACTGACATCAGCAATCATATCCCTGGTGCCACGGCCTCTTCTAAATCCTACTTGAACTTCTAGCCGTTCCCTAGCTATGTACTGTTCTAGCCATTATTGAATGTTTTTCAGCAGTATTTTGTTTGCATGTGATATCAATGATATTGTTTGATAGCTTCCACATTCAGCTGAATCACCTTTCTTGAGAATGGGATTATTTTTTCAGTAAATTCCACACTCTGTCAGATCATTTTTTTTGGAGTGGGAATAAGTATGAATCTCTTCTAGTCAGTTGGTCAGGCAGTTGTCCTCCAAATTTCTTGGCACAACCTGGTGAACACTTTTAGGGATTTAATTTATATTCTTTATGGAACATCTCACCAATAATCTTAAGTAGGGGAAATTTTAGAGAATATAGTGGCATCTCCCCAAGGTATAGGACTTTCTACTGTTGTAAAAAGGAATACAATTATCTGAAAGGGACAGCAACTTATAATTACTCTTTAAAGAGAGACTGTGCATGTGTGTGCATGTGTGTGTGTGTATGTGTGTATAAATGCTGTGTCTGTGCCACTGAGTCAGAACTGACACATTGTTGACCATCCAGTGGTTTTTTTCACAGAGTAATTGCCTATCTTTCTTTCTCATATACATTAATAGTTAGGGAGCTCTCGGTCCGGGGAGGTGGTCAGGACCCGGGACCGAGTCCACTTCCCCGCAGATCTGGCTTGATCACCTTTCCATTTCCCCACAGATCTCCCTGGAGCATGAGATCTTGCTGCACCCGCGCTACTTCGGCCCCAAATTGCTCAACACCGTAAAGCAGAAGCTCTTCACCGAGGTGGAGGGGACCTGCACGGGGAAGTACGGCTTTGTCATTGCTGTCACGGGTGTGATCCAGCCACGCCGAGGCTTTGTCCTGTATCCAGTGAAATACAAGGCCATTGTGTTCCGGCCCTTTAAAGGGGAGGTCGTAGATGCCATTGTCACGCAGGTCAATAAGGTTGGCCTCTTCA